TCACGGAGTTGATCGTGCCCGTCTATGCGAGCAGCAGAAGGAGGAGGAGTTTCTCGAATTTGTGCGGGAGGCCGAGGGAGGTCTCGCGGGACCTGACTCACCGATTCACCTCTTTTTAGAGAAAAGAGTGTTGATGAGACAGTGGAGACTGGTGCAAATGGAGGCGGATGATGGAGTGTTGGGAGTGAGGCATCAAGTGATAGTGCCGGCGCGATGTAGGGACGCGGTACTAGAGCTTGCGCACTCTGTGGATCCCACAGATCACTTACAAGTGACCAAGACACTAAGCTAGATTAGAGAGCATTTTTATTGGTCGGGAATGGACACCGATGTGAAGAGACATTGCAAAACATATTTTCCGTGTCAAAAGACATGGAAGAACGTCCCCACAATACCGCTGGCCCCTCTGGTACCTGCTCCTGCTTTTGGCCAGGCGTTTGAGCGCCTAATTGTCGACGTTGTGGGAACCTTACCTTTGTCAAAACGGGAGAACAATTATTTACTCACCATCATGTGCGCTTCTACACATTTTCCAGAAGCGATCCCGGTGTGGAAGGTGACGTCGAAAGTCATTATGGGACACCTTCACCATGAGATGGGAAGTGATTCTTCTCTTGGTAGGAGTGCCCAAAGAGATCCAGTCAGACTGTGGGGAGTGTATTCCAGTCAAAGTGGTTTAGACAGACTATCGCGGGCTGGGTAATAACGCAACTACGATCTTCACCCTATAGACCTCGGTCGCAGGAAACAATTGAGAGGTTCCACTCGACACTGAAGACTGTGTTGAGAGTATATTGCGCAGAACAGGGGGCGAAATGGGACGAGGCCGTATTTCCAGCCTTGTTTGCGATAAGAGACGCTGTGGTAGAATCTCTGGGATTCTCACCTTTTGAACTTGAATACAGTCATGAAGTGAGAAGTCCTTTAGTAATCTTGAAGGAGCGATTGACGTCAGGGAAGGCATTGGTAACAGTGGAAGAGTACGTGCAGAAGTTCAGGGAACGATTACAAACGGAGAAGAAGCTGGCGGCTGAACACCTGAGGACAGCACAGGAGAAGATATTGGTCTGGTACGCTCGAAATGCTGTCCCAAAAAAGTTTAAAGTGATCGAGCCGAGGTGATTGAGCCAAGGTGATGATGCTGCTACCCGGAGATGGTAGAGTTACGGAATCGTGCTTTGGTTGTCCCTACTCGATTGTCAGGCGAGTAGGTAAGGTGAACTACGAGATCAGCAATCCGAATCGCCCTCGAAAGACACAGGTGTGTCACATAAACCGATTGGAACCATACTTCCAGGCGGAACAGGAAGACGCAAGCAGGGAGAAGACATTGCATGATTAGGAGGAGAGAGGATGGTTCTGTGTATGGAACTGAGCCAAGAGTTGCCATCGGAGGGAGGGCAGTGGACCCGTGCCATTGGTACTCGTCTCTCCAACACCGAGAGTTTGACACACCGAGAGGAGAAACCGCATCATCTGGATGTGAGGCAGAGAGACGACCTTGTGACTCTGCTGAGGAAGAACGAGTCACTCTTCACGGAAGTGCCCCGACGGCACCGGAACATGGTACATGAGGTGGAAGTGAGGGCTGGAAAACCGATTAAAATGAATGCCTATTAGGTCAGCCCAGAGAAGAGGCAGCTCATGCAAGAAGAGGTAGAATATTTGTTGGCAAATGATCTTGCCGAGCCTAGCAATAGTGAGTGGAGTTCACCCTGTGTGTTGGTGAAGAAGGGTGATGGTTCGTTCCGTTTGTGTACAGATTATCGGAGGGTAAATTCCCTCAATGGCTGAGCGGACAGAACACTGGACATCTGATCCTGTGGTCCCGGGTTCGATCCCGGGTGCCGGCGAGAAACAATGGGCAGAGTTTCTTTCACCCTGATGCCCCTGTTACCTAGCAGTAAATAGGTACGTGGGAGTTAGTTGGCTGTTATGGGCTGCTTCCTGGGGGTGGAGGCCTGTTCGAGGAGACACTACTAGGAGATTTCGGGGACACTAAGCCCCGAAATCTTCTCAACATAACCTCAAGATAACCACCGTGTCAGATTCCTACCCTATGTCTCGAGTAAGTGATTGTATCGACCAAGTGGCAAACGCCAAGTAGGTTTCCAAAGTCGATCTGTTGACAGGCTACTATCAGATACCTTTATCTCCAAGTGCAAGGAAGATCTCTGCGTTTGTAAAACCGGACGGCTTGTACCAGTTCAAAGTACTTCCGTTCGGCATGAAGAATATCTGAGGTTTATTCCAAAGAATGATAAATGGGGTACTACGAGGAGCTGAAGGTTGCACAGTATACATCGTCGACATAGTAGTGTAAGCCAACAGTTGGAAGGCGCATATGGATCAACTAAGAGAATTATTAGAAGAGGCGAACCTGATGATTAGCCTAGCCAAAAGCAAGTTCTGGAAGGCTAAGTTGGAATATTTAAGCTTTGTCGTGAGCCAAGAAGAAGTAGCTCCGGTTGATCAAAAGGTCAACCGGAGCTACTTCTCTACTACTACCACGGTTTTTGCAAGAATTTCTCAACGGTGGCTCATCCTCTGACAGAATTACTATCTAAGAATGTTAGAAAGAAGTGAGGGGAAGGCATGGCAAGAGTCGTTCGAGAAAACACAAAAAAATTCTGACGGAAGCCCCGGTGTTGATCTCTCTTGATTTCGAAGCAGGATTCATTTTATATGTCGATGCTAGCAACATAGTGATAGGAGCCATGTTGGCCCCTGGAAGACACGAGGTACACCGACCAGTAGCTTTCTACTAGAAGAAGTTTGGGAGGTATCAACGAGCTTACAGCACGATGGAGAAAGAAGAGTTAGCCCTGATTTTGTTATTGAGGCATTTCGACGTCTGTGTGGGAGGAGGTACTAGACCGTTTCAAGTGTTCACTGATCACAACCCCTTGACATTCGTATATAAAATGAAGAACTCAAACCAGAGACTGACGATATGGTCTTTGTTATTGCAGGATATTGGTTAGAAGTTAGACATATCAAAGAAAAGGAGAATGTGATAGCAGACGCCCTTTCCCGAGTGCACTAAACAGATATGACTCATATTTTAAGGGAAGGGGTATGTGACTGTGCTCCGCCTACATCTTCCTTACTCCTGCGTAAAGAGTCAAATCTCTGCAACCCGCACGTTCTCGGAGGCTCAGGGAACATTTTGGTGTATATAAAGTATATAAAGTTATCGTGTGGAAGGTGAATTTGCTGATTTAGTTTTGTCACTACAGGTGGCTTATGCCCTTTAGTATCACAAGATGGCGCCGGCGCGAGGATGTTATCACCAAATGAGCCTGGCGTCAGCCATCTGGTGAATGGCCAGGTAAGGTCACGTGACGAAAGTAACCAATAGCGCGGCACCCTTGGGTGGGGTGATGCCACAGGGCGGAGGGGTCGGTCGGCCCAGTGCCTTGCCGCGCTCAGTGTCACAGCATGTCATTGAGCGTGGACACGCTCAAGTGAGCTCTCAGTTTGGAGGCTAGGAAGCCCCCAGCCGGAGAACCCAAGCGGTCGCATTGATACTACAGACGTAGAGGAAGACCAGCTGACTCCTGGGGAGTACATGGAAGCAAGGCTTAGTTGGTGTTAGAGCGCCAAGAGCTCGTTTGCTGATAATCTACGACGAAGGAGGATGTGTTCGCTGGGAGGGTCGTGCTTGATGCCCTGTGGGCCATGTTGTGATACATCAAGCGAGCTGCTGTGACTAGGTCAAGTCCACTGGAAGGATAGGAAGGGGACAAATCCACAAGGGCCATGACGAGGGTTCGAACATACGTCCGGGAGGATACCAGACGCTGCCTTAATCAATTGAGCTGTGACATGGTAAAAGAATTGCGACCAGGTAAATCATCCTGATTTACCAATGGATCCTGCAGTCTCTCTGAGACACAAACCATGGTTTTACGCAATCCCCCCGCCCCCCTTCCTGGTTTGTGTCTCGGAGAGACTGCAGGATCCATTAGTAAATCAGGATGATTTCCCGGTCGCAATTCTTTTACCAAGCTCAGTCGATTAAGGCAGCGTCTGGGATCCTCTCGAACGTAGGTTCCAACCCACGTCACGACCCTTGTGGATTTGTTCATATGATGCATCATGCCATTGTGATTTCTGTGTGTAATATGAAGGGGGACACTGAACCATACTGCAAGTTTGTCTACAGTTCCAGTGGGAGACGGGAGACGACTTGCGCTTTCAGTGCTAAGGAGGAGGTGGACCTGCCTTCTAGAAGTGAGAACAGAGAGGACGCGCAACTACAAGTCATCTAAGGACCTTGTGTGTACCGGACCTTGATCAATGGAGGATTGGCCACCAGAACAGAGGACCTCAACAATCATCGCCAGAGGATATGTCGTCTCTGTAGCAGAGAGAATTAAGGTTGGTAAATTCCTTCCCATTACCCCCTTGATCTAGGTGAGCTAGAGTATTATTTATGCTGTGATTATTATCTTTATTGACTACTGAGAAGCGTTGCTGGGATGTGAATATAGGTACCCAGCTGTCGACCTTGATTACGGGTTAGTGGCAAGATTCACCTATGTGTTTCCCAGTGTTTCGGCGGGCAAGTTCAGCTGAGAGTGACAGAGATAAGGTTGGATTTCCTCACTCGCCATGGGTGCAAGGTCGTGACACGGGTAGTGTCTCAGCCCGTGGTAGACTGGGGGCTCCCTGGGCGATCAGATACACCCAGGTACAGGAGAGCAAAGACCCGTGGGATACCAAAAAACCGTAACAATACCCAGCCTCTCACCATAAGATGGGGATACATACCCAGCCTCTCACCATAAGATGGGGATACATACCCAGCCTCTCACCATAAGATGGGATAAATGACTGACAACTTATCCCTTAATCAGTCACAGTTGAGACCATGTTCGTACAGGAGTGAACTCGGTCCCGAGCGGGGTGAGGGGTGGGGTGGGGTAGGGGGGGGGGGGAGTAACAAACAGTACCCCGGTCCAGTATAGAACGCGTGGAGGACGGTAGAGTCTTACCTGCTCCTGGAGAACAAAGTGAAGGTGACCGTCGATGACACGACACCCACACAGCCTGTGCAGGGCGCTGATGTTGTTCCTCAGGTCCATACTGCCGCATACTGTGCCGGAGACACACCACACAAATATAAATTATAGTATAGTGTCTCGCTCAATAGTTTGTATATAAATTTTAGTAATAAAGGTTATAACTAATATTTATAAAAAAAATTGTTTTTATATAGTAATATTACATTTTACAAACTTTTCCTTTTCTAAAGACTTGTAACTGCGTGACTCACCATAGATGTATAGTGACTGTTGTGACCTCTTGTTGAATCACTTGTGTTATAAAAAGATTATTTAAATGTATATGTATTTGTATACTTGATTGTGTATATATGAATATTGTTACGAACCTTACCTCCTGTGGAGGTTAGTTTCAAGCATAAAATGTTGGTGGACACAGAGGAGAATTTTTGATAGGAAAATATCTACAGCTGATTTCAGGGAGGCCGCGAGTTACCAGTAATACTCCGCCCAGCAAAGTAGTACCTTCTCAGCAGGAGATTGTCAGGAATAATGTGAACTGGAATAGCCTAACTATATGAGGGAAAAATGGTCTCAATCTAAAAGCATGCATGGAAAATATGGTAAATAAAGTCAATAAAGGGTTTGATTGCAAATGTAAAGCATAGAGTATTAAAGGGCGATGACGCAAGAGAGGTGGACGCCATCTTGACTTGAGGCGAGGTGTATCGCTGCCAACCCGGTCCTGCTATTTGAGGGGTTTTCTCCGGCCGTACAGTCAGCTAAGCCTACTTTTATATCTAAACAGGGATACAAGATATTGTTGAGGAGTTATGCAGACTTTGGAGGTTTTCTTTAAGAGAGAGTCCAGGTTTTCTAGAGGTGTAAATATATGTGTCATCGGTGGATAGCTGTGGTGGCTGTGTGAATGGTTCCAGATTTGGGACAGAGAGCCTTAGGGTATCTAGAGCCCGCATGGGGGGTTATATCACATTATAATGAACTGGTGTTGTAAGGAACCACATTTCATATGTGTAATATCTTGTGTTTAATACATATAAATTTATGTCTTTGTAGTAGGCTGTTTACCTTACTCCTTGATTTGCCCTAGGCTGAAATACAATCACCTATTTCCCTAGACTACATTTAAAGGTCCACCACCACTAAATTCTTAACAGGCCTCCGAGACACAGCTATGACAAAAGTTTTTGACACATGCACTCGTGACACATATGTGTATGTAACATTAACAAATGTGTAACTAGCCTCAAAAGATTGTCACTTGCTTAGCTAAATGAATTAAAGTCGAACTTCAATGGGTTTAGTTCCTGAACCCATTATGTGCCTCTGTAACCCTTTCCACCACCACCCCCGGGATGGGTATGGGGTGCATAATAAAGAATAATTAATTGATCAAACAAAAGCATACATAATAAATACACTTAAAATGCCATCAGTTACACTCACAAATATTAGCGAATACTTTGATTTAAAAACTTAGCATTTTGAGCTAGTTCATTGATATATTAGTCGATAGTGTCCGGATACCTGTCTACCACTCAATCATCAAACCATTTTGGCTGGGCGGTAGAGCGACGGTCTCGCTTCATGCAGGTCGGCGTTCAATCCCTCGACCGTCCAAGTGGTTGGGCACTATTCCTTCCCCCCGTCCCATCCCAAATCCTTTTCCTGATCCCTTCCAGTGCTATATTTTCGCAATGGCTTGGCCCTTTCTCCTGACAGTTCCGTTTCTCCCCCCCCCCCCTCCTTTCTCTCTCTCTCTTCCTCTCTTCCTCTCTTCCTCTCTTCCTCTCTTCCTCTCTTCCTCTCTTCCTCTCTCTCTCTCTCTCTCTCTCTCTCTCTCTCTCTCTCTCTCTCTCTCTCTCTCTCTCTCTCTCTCTCTCTCTCTCTCTCTCTCTCTCTCTCTCTCTCTCTCTCTCTCTCTCTCTCTCTCTCTCTCTCTTCCTCTCTTCCTCTCTTCCTCTCTTCCTCTCTTCCTCTCCTCTCTCTCCTCTCTCTCTCTCTCTCTCTCTCTCTCTCTCTCTCTCTCTCTCTCTCTCTCTCTCTCTCTCTCTCTCTCTCTCTCTCTCTCTCTCTCTCTCTCTCTCTCTCTCTCTCTCTCTCTCTTCCTCTCTTCCTCTCTTCCTCTCTTCCTCTCTTCCTCTCTTCCTCTCTTCCTCTCTCTCTCTCTCTCTCTCTCTCTCTCTCTCTCTCTCTCTCTCTCTCTCTCTCTCTCTCTCTCTCTCTCTCTCTCTCTCTCTCTCTCTCTCTCTCTTTTGAACTAAGACTAGGGTTCATATGGGTTGTTAAATGACATACCTAGTGAAACTGCAAGCAAGAGCTGTTATCCTACCTCAGCTCATCTGAAACCTGCACCTAGAAACTCATTTATTTCGTTGAAACTATCACACAAGAAACTATCACAAAGGATCTATTATACAAGAAACATTGTGAAATTGCAAGCAAGAGCTGCAATCCTACCTCAGCTCAGTTGAAACCAACTTCTAGGGGCTCATTTATTTAATGAGACTGTTATATGCATCAGTAGGAATAGCCTTTATTCATTAACAACATTAGGTAACAATAATATAACAGAGAGGTTGAGCATGTAGTCAACTGTGTGCCAGAGCCTTCATGTGATTGCTGAGTCTTGCAGCAGTTGATACTTCTTCCTTTCTGTAAGTGAAGGTTAGAGTGCAGTCATCAGCATAGGCTTGAGCTTCAGGAACGAGATGAAGTAAATCGTTGAAATAGATATTCCACAGCAGAGGGCCAAGCACACTACCCTGTGGAATGCTGGCACCAATTTTATTTTTATTTTTTATTTATTTATATACAAGAAGGTACATTGGGTTTGTGAGAATACATAGCATAGTATTTACAATCTTGTAAAGCCACTAGTACGTGCAGCGTTTCGGGCAGGTCCCTAATCTAACAGATAATTTTAAGTAGATAAATTCTAGCAGAATTAATGAAATGATAACAAATACATTGCAAGAAAAAAAATGAGATGAGGGAGATTAGTAAGCATATTAAAGCACATTGGTATATTAAAGCTCTGATTGATTACATTGACAGCTTGATTGGTAATTTAAACAAGATTAATAGACACCATACAGCAGATTAACAGCACATATAAGAAGACAGCAATGATCACAATGGTAAAGATGTTCGGATTGGGTACATAAAGATTGGGAGATTGGGTAGCAATAGATACAGTGCAATTTTAAAGTATAAGGTAAAAAACTATGAAGATGAAATTAGGTACTTTTTAGTATTGTTTTTGAATGACGCAAAAGTTGGACAGCTTTTTAATTCAATAGGGAGTGAGTTCCATAGACTGGGTCCCTTTATTTGCATAGTGTTTACACAAATTAAGTTTAACTCTAGGGATATCAAAGAGATATTTATTTCTGGTGTGGTGATAATGGGTCCTATTACATCTGTCCAAGGAGAGTTTCAGAGCAGGATTTGCATTTAAGAACAGGGTTTTGTAAATGTAGTTGACACAAGAGAATTTGTGGAGTGAGATTATGTTTAGCATGTTTAGGGAGTTAAACAAGGGGGCTGAGTGTTGTCTGAAAGCAGAATTTGTTATTATTCTGATAGCAGATTTTTGCTGGGTGATGATGGACTTGAGGTGGTTTGCAGTGGTTGAACCCCATGCACAGATACCATAGTTAAGATAGGGATAGATTAGTGCATAATATAGAGAGATGAGAGCAGAGTTAGGTACATAATATCTGATTTTGGAGAGAATGCCAACTGTTTTTGAGCCTTTCTTAGTTATGTGTTATATGTGGGGTACTGAAGTTGAGTCTCTTGTCTAGGAATAGGCCGAGAAACTTTCCATCTTTTATTGCTAAATTGAGTGGCTTTCGGATTCTGCTCCATTGAGGACTACCCTTCGAGTTCGTTCTTGATGGTAATCTTTCATTAGCTCTAAGATGGAGCCTGCGATGCCTAGTGCTTGAAGCTTCTCTACTAATGCAGAGTGCCAGATCCGATCAAAGGCTCCTGCTGTGTCTAGAGCAACAACACAGCTGATCTTGGACTCATCCAGTGACTGATGGCACCTAGTGGAGAGATTTAGCAAGATATCAGCACCAGATTCGCCTTTTCTAAACCCATTCTGTCGATCAGATATTGTCGACGACAATAAAAAAAAAATTATATCATTTGCCGAGTGATTAATGATTCTAGGATCTTGCCAGTAATGGAGAACAGTGACACTGGTCTGTAGTTACCACCTAATGAGCGGCTCATCTTTTTGTGCACTGGAACAACGTCTGTCTTCTTCCATAAGGAGGACCAAATTCCTTGAGCTACGCAGAGTTGGAAGAGTCATGTAAGAGGTGAAGCCAACAGGTCAGCGCAGCTGCGTAGTAGTCGTGGACTGACCTTATCTGTCTCCACAGCTTTGCTTGTGTCTAGCGTTGTAAGGAGATGGAGAACTTCAGCCTGCTGTATTACCACTTCAGTCATCCTAGACACAGTACTTGGAGCAAGATGTGGAGGCTGTCGTTCAGGATCAGAGACTTGCATCTTGGCAGCAAAGTGGTTTGTCAGTGGATCAGCATTCTCCTGATTGCAAGTTGCAACAGGTTCATCCTCCAGGTTTAGTTGCAGGACTGTGACCTCAGATGAGTACCCCTGCCGATCCTTCACCAGGGACCTCCAGACCTTGGATCCAACCCTTCCAGATGCAAGTTTTCTTCGAGTTTCGGATTCCCATCTGGATATAGCCCACTTTTGAATTTCTTTCATTATTCGACAAGATTATCTGTGAATGTTTCTGTTATGAGCCGAGGGATGCCGTTTAAATCTCCTCCAGGCCTTGTTTTTGGCTTCAGCTGCCATCCGGCACCGATATCCAAACCAAGGCTGATCAGTGGGCTTGGTCACATACTGCCGGTGAGGGATATGCCTATACTGAAGGACCAGTATACTACTGGTGAAAGCGTTTGCTTGGCTGTTCACGCCCCCCTGGAGCAAAACATTCCAAACATTTGCCTCAAGTTTTGAGTGGAGGGCCAGTGCCTTCTGTCACCAAGCCAGGTAGTTCGAACAGATTCTTCACCTTGATATATCGGGATAGCCAGTGTAGTAAAGATAGCCTGATGGTCTGAAGTATCAACATATCCAAGAGGTCTGCAGTGAACTATGTTTGCAGGAAGGTCAGTTACAACAGGATCGAGAGACAAGCTTGATATGTGGTTGGAAAACTCACAAAACTTTCAAAGGTTAAAGACTGCTAAGAGTTCATCAAAATCCCTCTGTTTGAGATACTGGTTGAGGTCACCGACATTTATGATGGGCTGACAGTTATGCTGCATTAGCAATTAGGGAATCAAGGTTGTTCATGAGTGAGTGTTCACAAAGCTGTGTGTGAGATCGCCACAATGGTAATGAAGCCTCTGATGTTGGCAGACAGTTTGCTGATAGATTGACTCCTCGTGTCTGCGTGTTGTTTGAGAAACAACACGCAGACATGAAAAACACGCTGCACAGAAGGCAGTTGATCTTTCAGCTGCCTTCTGAAGTTAGTATTAGTAGTGAAACTGCGTGTTGTGGCAGACCTCGTAGCTGGTGTGTTGGTGTGTGTAAATCTGCTGTGCTGAGTAAGGGACAACGCCACCTGCAGGACTTGGGTATGGATGAAGGGTGCTGACGAGTAAGAGTATGCACCAGGTCTGAGTATTTCTTAGACAGATCCAAGAGAAAATCTGCATACTCGTCTGCTTCTCCTTCTACTCTTCGCCGTCTTGATGCTTTTCACCATACTGGGTTGCACCTGAGTTCTGGTGCCTTTCGTTCGACTCCCGTCCTCAGCTTGTATGTTGACACTGGCTTCCTGTCTCTCCAGGACCACCGTGATCGCTACTGTCTTCGCTGTCTTGCATGGTCCTTACAACATCCTTCCTCTCGCCTCTGTCGTGCTTTAACTTTACCCCTCCTGCGGTTCCTGTTCCTCTTC